CGAATGCCTTTGCATAGTCAATAAAACACAGGTAAACATCTTTCTGGTATTCTCTGCTTTCAGCCAGGATCCATCTGACATCAGCAATGATATCCCTCGTTCCACATTGTCTTCTGAATCCGGCTTAAATTTCTGGCAGTTCCCTGTTGATATACTGCTGCAGCTGCTTTTGAATGATCTTCAGCAAAATTTTACTTGCGTGTGATGTTAGTGATATTGTTCGATAATTTCCGCATTCAGTTGGATCACCTACATATAAATATTCTTGTGGATAAGCATTTCAGTCCCTGGACACAGCATGTAAACTAATGGTGGCGTAGTCCAGTAAGAATCCTAATCCAGAGTCATCTAACCAAGACAGGCAGTTTTCAGCCATGTAAAGGGTGCCAATGCCGAAGCCCTTCTCTTCCAACCCAGCCTCGGTATCTGGCTGCTGTGGCCAGGGCCCCTCAGCCAGGCCGGGTGGCGGGAAACTTTTGAGGGAGCTCATTGTACCAGGGAGAATTGGGATACAGGCCCAGAGGGAGCTGAGGCCACGGCTGAGGCCCTTCTCATTGTATTTGAGACTTGTTTTTTCCCTTTTACCTGGTTCTGTCTTTCTCTTATCCCCTTAGGCAATTATTTTAACACGTTTAGTGTGTATCTTTTGTTTATTTGTGTTCTTGTATAGTGCTTCTAGTTTTGTGATGTGTTATAGATCATATTCTGATTGTGACTATTTGTACTCAGTGTTCTGTTTTAAGATCCATCTGTGTGGTCACGTGTACATTTAATTAATTATTTCTAATTGCTGCGGGGAATCCATAGTGTTTGTCCCCTGCATTTTATCTGTCACGACTCCTGGAGATGGACACCACTGCCTCCAGCTCCTGACATCTAAGTTCATATAAGGTAGAGGTTTTCTAAATCTCTGTGGCCCATGGGTGGCCAGTTTCTACCTGGATCAACTCATCTACAGCCATAATTTTCACTCCCTCCCAAATCTGGGCAAATAATCCGAGAAGCTGGATTATATGAAAAAAATGTGGCATCAGGATTGGAGGAAGTCTCATTAACAACTTTCGATATGCAGTTGACACAACCCTGCTTGCTGAAAGTGAAGGGGACTTGAAGCACTTACTGAAGAAGATCAAAGACCACAGCCTTCAGTGTAGTTTATACTTCAGCATAAAGAAAACAAAAATTCTCACAACTGGACCAATAAGCAACATCATGATAAACAGAGAAAAGATTGAAGTTGTCGAGGATTTCATTTTACCTAGATCCACAATCAACACTCATGGAAGCAGCAGTCAAGAAATCAAAAGATGCATTGCATTGGGCAAATCTGCTGCCAAAGACTTCTTTAAAGTGTTGAAAAGCAAAGATGTCACTTTGAAGACTAAGGTGCACCTGACCCAAGCCATAGTGTTTTCAGTTGCCTCATAAGCATGGGAAAGCTGGACAATGAATAAGGAAGATCGAAGAAGAACTGATGCATTTGAATTGTGGTGCTGATGAAGAATATTGAATATACCATGGACTTCCAGAAGAAGGAACAAATCCGTCTTGGAGGAAGTACAGCCAGAGCGCTCCTTAGACAGTGAGGATGGTGAGACTTTGTCTCTCTTACTTTGGTTGGACATGTCATCAGGAGGGACCAGTCCATGGAGAAGGACATCATGCTTGATAAAGTAGAGGGTCATCGAAAAAGAGGAAGACCCTCAACGAGATGGGTTGACACAGTGCCTGCAACATTGGGCTCAGACATAGCAACAATTGTGAGAATGGTGCGGGACCAGGCAATGTTTTGTTCTGTTGTCCATAAGGTCACTATGAGTCAAGCCGACTCGAAGGCACCTAATAACAACCCAGATTTCTCTGGCTGCTCAGGGCTCCCCCCTTGGCTCCAGACCTATGCTTTCCAAGTCCTTGAAGCTGATCTGCGCTCTACCTCACACTTCACCATTCAATTCATCAGTGAGAGGTATCCATACCCCATGCCTTCTCATCACCTCCACCTTGGTCCACATCTTCACCATCTTCTCTTGCTAGGATTCCTGCGATAGCCTCCTCACCAGTCTCCCTGTTTCCCCTCTTTATTCTATTCTCAGTAGAATCAATAGCCAAAGTGATCCTTTTGAAATGTAAGCCAGAAAACGAGATTCCTCTGGTCATGTTTATGAGCCCATGTAATTCTGTTTTCACTTAAGCTCATTTCAGTTACAGTTGTCACTTAAAATTGAATGAGTTCTGAATACGAGTGATCAAGTACCTCAAATTATTTCCTTCTTGTGTCTTATCTCCCTACCTGGACTATAATCTCCTTAAAGGCAAGGAAGTTGTCTTCACAACTCTGTTTATCCTTCCTCCATGATCTCTCCTAACATCTAGCACAAGACCAAGCACCTGGCAGGTGATCAATTGGTACTTTTATACAGGCTGATAAATGAAGACTTCTCATTTACAACATCTAATATTTTAAAGGAAATATCTGTTTTCATGAAAAAGATATGTCCGTTGTAAAAAAAAAAAAAAAAATATTCAACCCATATGGGGAAAATGAAAGTCTCCCTGTATTTTTTTACTCCAGAGATTGTCACTGGTAATCACGGAGTGTAATCTCCCGGACTTTTAGTGTATACAGAACACAGGGTGGATATATACTTTAAAATGAACATGTTTTTCTCCTTAAGAGACACTGGGCTTTTGTATAGGATGATGGAAAAATTCAGAAACAAATAGTAGTGATGGTTGAACAACATGACGTATGTAATTAATGTCACTGAATTGTACACATAAAAATTATTGAAATGACACTTTTCGTTACATATATATTTACCACAAAAAATAAATGGTTTGGTCTTACATATGCAGTTCTATAACCTGCTTTTTTTCACCTACCAATGTATTGTGTCTATTTTTCTTCATCAGTATATATGGATTTGATTCCTTCTTTTTACCAGCTGCATGGTATTCTACTGCATGGTCTGTCAAAGTTATTAAGCAAGCTGCCTATTGATGTCCATTTAAGTTGTTTCTAATTTTTACGATTTTAAACAATGGTGCAATGAACATCTTCTACATAGATCTCTGAACTTTTGTGCCAGCGTTTCTGTAGGATAGATTTATAGAAACAGAGATACTTGATTGAGGTGTCTACACATTTACCATTTGCCTCAGATTGCCAAACGGCCCCTCAGAAATTACCCTCCTGAACACAGTATATGCGAAGCACGACCCCCCATCTCAGCTCCGTCAGTTTTTGCCAGGACGGTTGCAGTAGCCTCTGAGCTGTCTTCCCACATTCACCCTGCCCCTACCTCCAATCTTCTCTCCTTACAATAGCCAGGGTTGCCTTTTCAAAATACAAATCTAATCATGTCACCACCCATCCTCCCACCCCTGAAAAACAACCTTTGGCATCGCACTGCCTTCAGGGCGAAGGCAGAATCCTGGCCCCTGCCTACCTTTACAGTCTCCTCTAATAATGCTCCTCCTCCAATCTCTCCAGCCACACCAGTTCTCTTTCAGTCTCCTGCATTCTCTGTGTGCTTCCCCACCTCAGAGCCTTTGCACATGCTGTATCCACTGCCTGGAATGCCCTTCTCAGCCCTCCTCCCTCTCCTTTGCCTATTTAACTCCTGTTTATCTTTTTTATGTCTCAGTCCAAATAGTACTGACGCCCTCCCTTACTTACCCCCTTGCTGGTCCTGGTCTCCCTATTAATTGCTCTCAGAGGACACCACTCCTTCTTCAGAGCACCCCTCACTATTGGTAAGTATACACTCATCTGTGTGATCATCCTCCTCCGTAAAGGCAGGGGCCACTCTCTACGGCACCTCCCTGGCCCTGGCACAGTGTCTGGCTCCCAAGTACTCGGTAAAGATTTGTTGAGCTTTTGTTTGTTTGTTTTACCACATACTTGTTCCTAAAACTCTGACCTATATGTGTCTTTGTTTGACCCTCCCTGCAACTTTGCAAAGAAGGGGGCTTGGAGTACAGGCAGTCCCCATATTACGAACATCCGACTTATGTACAACCTGTAGTTATGAAACAACCCCTCTAAAGCCTGTTAAATGAAGAATTTGAGGTACATACAATGATTCATAACAATGAGCACTACTTTGTGATGTACATCAAGACATTATTATTATTGTATTATTATGTTAAAGATGCTTTAGTGTATCTGGAAGTGTTTAATTTTTTTATGCATAGAAAGGTACAGTATATACTGTATACTAAGACAAACATTTGACTAACTGACCTACCTAACTGTTCTGATTTACATACACATTTGACTTACAGACAGATTTAGAAACGGAACTCATTCATAATCTGGGGGCTGCCCTATTGTAGCTATTTTACAGAGGAGGAAACTGAGGCTTCCAGAGGCAAATTGCTTTTTCTAAGGTCACTCAGCTGATAAATGGTCAGAGTTTGGGACTCAAACCCAGGTTTCCTGACTCCAGGGTTTGATGCTCTTCTACCGACGCTTCTCATACTGAGTTCTCCCAGGGCTTCAGATCCTTCCTCTGCTATTCTCAGGACGTTCTGTCTCTACCTTTTTTTTTTTTTTTTTTTTTTGCATCTCTTGCTAAATCCTCCATCTGGACTTTTGTGGTTCTGAGCAATAAGAGAGTCATTGACAATATTAGAGGTGGGAGGGGACCTGTAGGTGAAACTTATGAGTCTCATTTTATACACGAGAGAACTGGGGTGCAGAGAGCACCCAGGCCTTGCTTACAGTGACCCCACAAAGTGCATTCACTCACCTAGTGAACAGATATGTGCTGAGCACCTACTGTGTGCAGGCCACTGTCCAAGTGCTGCACTGCTGTGTGCAGACGGACTGTAGAGAGACAAGGGTGGGCAGCTGGTTAAATCGATGGTGATGCAGACTAGGGTGGTGGAGGTGAGCAGAAGCTGTCAGATGCAGGATATAGTGACAGTATATATTTGACAGATGAGCCCGCAGGATTTGCTCATGGATAGGGATGTAGGGCATGAGGGGAAGAGAGAAATCCAGGACAACTCCTGGGTTTTGATATGAGCACCTGGAAGGATGAAGTGGCCATTTACTAGGATAAGAAGTCAGAGGATGAGCAGGTATGGGGGGTGGTCAGAGTTGCTTTTGGGCATGTCAAGTTGGAGATATTTATGTGGCATCCAAGCAGCCCAGTAGAGTGGGCTGTTGGGTTTATGAATAATAGGGCTTGGTGGGTGGGGAGGGGTCCAGAAAGGTCCCCATTTAGATATCACCAGCATAGAGGCAGGATTGAAGTCATCTGCCCCTGCCTCCCTGCCCAGTGCCCCCCCAACCATGTCCCTCTCTGTCCAGCACTTCCTTGCTCTCCAAACTCCTGGGGCACATTCTCCCAGGAGCAGGCAGTGAGGCAGGCCTCTTGGGTGACGCAGAGCCCCGCCCTCTGCTTTCCTAACCTGCCGTGGCCCAGTTCCCTTGGCAAACAGCCCTGGGCCTCCGAGGCCGTATTTCGCAAAAGTGTTCCAGTTCGGCAAAGCAAATACAATCGAAGAGAAAGGCAAT